AGAGCTGCATGGTGAGTTGGTATGTGTGGGTACTGCGTCCGCACGATCTTATCCTAAGTCCTTGCGCGCAGCACTCGCCGATCCTCGTACTAATAGTTATGGGTCAGGCGGCGAGACCAAGAGCGTGCTACGGTCAATAGACTCGGGTTTGTGGTAACGTGAAGCAACACATGGGCGAAGGACCAGTCCCAGTCGACCTATGGGAGCCCGTGTACGGGCCTCACTACCCCCGGACATTGGATAGCCTACGGGTAGGACTTTGGGCCTCCTCCGCGCGCACGTCGTTTGGGTCTGCCTACCCCTTCCATTTTAGGAAGCCACTAGACAGTTGCGAGTTGGAATAGGTTTCTCTTTTGAACTTTCATGGTTGGACGTTGTATTCCGTGGTAGCCGTCAAAGTCAAACCCCTTGATTTCGGCTACCACGACAGCCCTAAAGCTGTCTACTCAACCCCTCTGCATAGGGTGCAGAAGAGGGTGTGGTCTTCAACCGCACATGGCGGGTGTCTGGTGTCGAGAGATTACCCCTCAAAGCGCCTGTCAGCTGACACTTGAGTGTCGAACGTGACCCTCGAGAATACCAAGGGCCGCGAGGCCATAGGTTCCACATAGTACCCCATCAGCGCAAATGCTTGCATGTGCCTGCATGATTGATATGAGGGGGCCATGCACTCGCGCGCCTCTTATACGGAAGTTCAGCGCGCGGTACCTATCTGAGTCTTGCCGTATATAGTTATGGGTCAGATACTGAAGGGACTAGGAGTTGTTGTGTTGTGGCGTTGTTTGTGGTGTTTGTTTCGTGTGGGGCTCCAGGTGTTATGGGTGAGTAAATGCGAGTGTTGTGGTGTAACGCGTGGGTGTGTAGTGCGTCCTAGTCGACCGACGTCGAGTGGCGTTTGGGACTTCAGCCCCCCAATACAGCGATTCACATACGGGTTCGATTTTCGGGCGTTCGACCGCGCGTACCCCCTATGCTACAGCGAGCGAGAAACGCCCTCGACTAGGCCACCTCCGCAATTGCATACGAAAAGCTTTCGCATGTGGTTCAGTAGCTCGGCAGGGATACACCCACCTAAGGGATGGTGACAGCTCCCGCAAGTGGAGGTAGCGGTGCCTCGCGTGACTCTGTCCTGTCGTAGGGACTCGCGAGAGGTACGGCTGGCGCACTCAGCCGGAGCGGCAAACACTCTCCGCAATAAGTCCTGCATAATCTTGCGTGACGCGGCCGGGAGGGTCCCTGTGCGGGACCGATGCGCTCGACACCGTTTGCCAAAAGTTTATTCAGACCTGACCTATGACTGAGAGACTAAAAGTATTGAAGATTAGTTCGGACGCCGGTGGCGTCCGAGAGTAATGGCAATAACCGGAAGTGTTTCGGTTTTGTCGAGGTCGCAGAAGCGTGTGGACATGAGAATGTCGAAGTTAAACCTATCCTACGTAAAATATTATCGCGCGGCTGCTATGCCACGCGATTTAGAGCCTAAGTAGGTTAAAAAGAATGGTCGCGCCAGGAATGGGGTCGCGGCACGGGAGAAATGAAGTGCTTGTTAATTTATTTATTTATTTATTTTTCAATTTTTTGGCCCGAGGGTTTTCATTTTGCACCGAGGGCCGGGAAACCGGCGCTAAGGCCTACCCAGTTGGGTGACCATTAAGCCGTGGCCGTGGGGTCATTCGACGGGAGACAGACCAAGAAGCAAGGCCTACTGGGCCTTGAGTAGGCCTTGCTGGGCCACGGGCAGGTAGGGGTGCCCAGGGCAAGCTCCTCATATAGAGGAGTTGCTCCTACTCTTCTCGTAGTAGGAGCTAACCCAATAGGTGGAACCTCAGGCTCATATGCCGCATACGCAGACATCGAACCCGACATACCGAGATTGGGCTAACTCCTTTTGTCGGAATAGCCCGATCTCGGAGCAGTATGGCGCGACAAATTTCGGTCGTGCGATCATCGAGATCTCACAACTGAAATCAGTCGCGCCGTAGATCTGCATGATCCTGCGCAAGGATGACACACATAAATCGAGAAATGGGCCAATTTTTTTTCCGATCCCGATAGGGATCGAACTCGGGTCCGTATTTCAATAGTTCGTGGGTGAGCCCACAAACGTGATAAGACCGTTGGCATAAACCAACTGGAATTGAAAAAAAAAAAGAGGGAAAAAAAAACTAAAACCTAGGTTGTTGGATCGGACGTCCGGGACCCCCTAACCGTCCGGGATGTCCGACCGGACGTCTGGTCGGACGTCCGACTGGACAGGGGTTGTCCGACCTAGCGCAAAAAAAAAAAAAAAAAAAAAAGTTTCTCAGAAAAATCTGAAAACAATCTATGTTATGTAACAGAACAATACAAGCAACTTTTGCCTTGGAGTTATGTTCAAATTCGCAGTCAATCATGAGTTAAAAATTGAAAACCGAAAAAAAATATGTATATTTTTTTTACGAAAAAAAAAACTTTTTCTCCCGAACGACGGGGGTACCGGACGTATGGGGGAAACGTCCGGGGGAGACGACCGGCCCCCGGACCATTGGTAACCTAGACTAAAACTAAACTGATAGCGACACGCCAGATGACGCAGTCTGAAGAGCCTGGGGCGTTTAAGTCCCAGTGCACCTGACGACTGTGAAACCGCGCGCTGATTGAGCGAGGGGTCGGAGCTCAAAATTTTGAGCTCCGCTCAATCCCGCGCTCAAAAGCGCTTGAGCGGGGTTTGAGCGGGCGCGGGAGTATTTTTTTCCCCGACAAAAAATAAGCAAAAAAAAAAACAAAAAATACAGGAAAGATCTACAACCTTGTATTTTTTATTTTATTTTTTGAAGTCTTTCCGGATTAAAAAAAAAATCAAAAACATAAACGAAAGGAAAAAAAAATAAAAATGAAATGGGTGGGTTTTTCTTTTTTTTTCACAGAGATTTTTTTGCAGGCAAAAAATTAACAAAAAACATAATAAAAAATACAGTCTTGTAGATATTTTGGAGATCAACGACCCCATATTTTTGTTTGTATTTTTTCAATGTTCGTATATGTTAAAAAAAAATGAAAAACATAAAAACGAGAAAAAAAGACACTCACAGACCCCGCCTAGCCCGGGCCTGCCCACACACTCACACATGAACACACACACACACACGGGCACACACACACACACACATAGACACACACACACACACATACACACACCCACACGCACACACACACACAGGGAGAGAGAGAGAGAGAGAGAGAGAGAGAGAGAGAGAGAGAGAGAGAGAGAGAGAGAGTCACCACCTCCCCCCCCCCCCCCCCCCCCCCCCCCCCCCCCCCCCCCAAATCACCCCCAACCACCCAATATTTTTTTTATGCGCAACACCCCCCACGACATCCCCTGCCTATGCGCAACCCCATGGCACGCTCATACGGTTTCATAGCCTGACGGTGCCCGTTTTTAAAGGGCGACCGTTTTGTAAGGTAACCTGTTTTTTTTTTTTTTAATAGATTTTTTGGTTTTATTGTTAGATTTGTTTTAGATTTTTTATTTAGATTTCTTTTTAGATTTTTTATTGTAAATTTGGGTTTTTTCTTCTTCCTTATTCAGGTACCCGTTCGTTTTGACGAACGGGTTGGTTCCTGCAGCTGAAGTATGAGCAAATCGAAGGAATTTTACCCTAGAACGCGGCATTATGCACCCCTACGCTACGACTACAGGGGGAGAGAGATAAGGGATCTTACCTGCTGGGCGGCTGAATCCACGATGACGAGGAACGCTACGGCCAACAGGTAAGTCCCCAACCTTGCAGCTGGCTACTTGTGGCACTTCCCTCGATAGGATGAGCCAAATTGAATGAATCTTCCGCTAGAACATGGAAACATACACTGCCACACTGTCCCCACCCTTTTCCATCGTTAGGAGCCCACCTGCGCCCGTTGTTGAACGACCTGCAGATAGGCGCCCGAACCAGGCGCCTATGGCTAGGAGCCCACCTCTTCCTCCTTCACTGTCGGGGCCTCCGCCTCCACCTCCGCCTCCTCCTCCTCCTCCTCCTCCTCCTCCTCCTTCGCCTCCTCAACGTTCTCCAGCACATCGACGTCGATCCGGTGCCGTTCTCCTCAACGTTTTTTTTTTTTTTTTTTTTTTTTTTTTTTTTCTTTGGTCCGATCAATCAATCAATCATATCAAGATCCTATCGAATCAATCGATTCGACGGGATCCTCAATCGATCGTTCAATTGATTGATTGATTGATTGATGGATGGATTGATTGATTGATTGATTGATTGATTAATTGATTGATTGATTGATTGATTGATTGATTGATTGATTGATTGATTGATTGATTGATTGATTGATCGGACATAAAAAAAAGCCTCCTCCTCCTCCTCCATCGTCGGGCCGTCCTCCTCTTCTTCCTCATCCCCTTCCCAGTCGTCGTCGTCGTCGTCATCCTCCTCCTCGTCCAACTCCTCCTCCTCCTCCTCCTCTTCTTCTTCTTCCTCCTCTGATTATCTCCCTCCTCCTCCATCGGCGTGGCCTCCTCCTCGACCTCTAGTTCGTCCACCTCCTCCACACCCTCTTCTTCTCCATCTTCCACCTCCTCCTCCTTCTCCATCATCAGACCCTCCTCCTCCTCCGCCTCCTCCTCCTCCTCCTCCTCCTCCTCCTCCTCCTCCKCCTCCTCCATCGYYGSGGCCTCCTCSTCCGCCTCCGCCGCCTCCTCCTCCACTGTCGGGGCCTCCTTCTCCGCCTCCTCCTCTGCCTCCTCCTCCTACTACTCCTCCTGCTCCTCCTCCTCATCGACGTTTTCCGGCACATCGACACCGATCCGGTGGCCGCCTCCTCGGCGTTTTTTTTTTCCCCCCCCTTTTGTTCTTGTTGTTGTTGTTGTCTTTGGTCCGATCAATCAATCAATCAATCAATCAATCAATCAATCAATCAATCAATCAATCAAACGATCGATCGAGGATCCTGTCGAATCGTTTGATTTGATAGGATCTTGATATCTCAAGACCCTATCGAATCAATCGATTTGACGGGATCCTCGATCGATAGTTTGATTGACTAATTGATTGATTGATCAGACAAAAGACAAGGGAAAAAAAAAAAAAAACGGATGGAGGAGGGGGAGGAGGAGAAAAAAGAAGAGGGTGAGGAGGAGGAGGACTAAGAGTCTAAGAGGAGAAGGACGACGAGGAGAAGTATGTCATTGAGGATGATGAAGGAAAAGGAGGAGGAAGAAGAGGTGGAGGAACATGAGACTGCGGCGACGGAGGAGGAGGAGGGAGAGAAAAGGGAAGAAGAACACAAAGAGGAGGAGGAGGAGAAGCAAGAAGAAGAAGAGGAGGACGAGCAGGAGGAGAATGACGATGCGCAGAAGGAAGAGGAGTACGAAAGGGACAATGAGAAGGAGGAGGCCACGACGATGGAAGAGGTGGAGGAAGAGGACTTAGAGGATGAAGAAGAAGAAGATGAGGAGAGGAGGAGGAGGAGGAGGAGGAGGAGGAGGAGGAGGAGGAAGACGTAGACGAGGAAGCAGTAGAGGATGAGGAGGACGACGACGAGGAGCAGAAAGAGGAGGAAGAATAGGAGGAGGAAGAAGAGGAGGAAGAGGAAAAGGAGGGGGAGGAGGAGGAGGAGGAGGAGGAGGAGGAGGAGGAGAAAGAAGAGGAGGAGGAGAGGGAGAAGGAGGAAAAGGACGAGGGGGACGAAGGGAAGCTGTCTCACCTGGCGTGGGCTGGCGATGGCGCATGGGGTTGAGGTCGACGACGTTGGAGTTTGCCAATTGCAACACTGAACTCCGGCGACAACACGGGCGGCAAGTCACGCGGGGGAGAACGGCAGGGCCCGCATCTTCGAATTTCAAAATAGCCCGATTTGAGCTGTCGATCTCGCAAATCTGACGGTCCAGATCAGGCCGTTTTGTTTTTCACTTTTGGAGGCCCTACCGGCCTCCAACAAATCGTCTCGTCCGCTCCCCCGGTTGGCCTGTCCCCTTTCTCTACCCCTCCCCGGCCCGAGAGTCTATCCTAGACCCACCCAAATTTTTTTTCACAATCGGACGTAGGGCCCCCGGCGGACGACCGACCGGTTGTCCGATCGGACAGTCCCGGACGGTCAGGGCGGTCCTGAACGTCCGATCAGGTAACGTAGATTTTTTTATTTTTTTTTTAATAGGGTCATAGAGGCCGACGTGCGACGGCCGCGCGCGCACGCCGTTTTCCCTCGCACGCCCCCGCCTGGGCCTGGGGCGGCTGCTTGGAAACTCGGCCGCGTGGCCTTGGCCGAGGGTCCGCCGTCGGCCTCCTCAGACGACTTATAGGCTGCAGGATCCGCGGCCTGGGGTGTCACGTGGGCCGGGAGGGCTCCCGCGCTTTGCAAAAAAGGCAGGAGCCGATGCGCTCAACAACGTGCGACTGGTCCCGTACCTCGTTGGCCCCGCCAAGATGCTCAAACTGAGATCTCCTACAGCAGAACGCGGTTGGCGGATGGTGCCCCCGCTACTCATGTTTCTTCCGCCTCGTGGGCTAATCCACCTATCGGCTCGCATGCACGTTGAACTGGTCGGCCCGTATTTTCAAGAGGGACCGGATAAAAGGAACTTCGTCAATATCACGCGCACGCGAAAATTCAAACGCCTCGCCAAAAAGAGGCGTGTGCTCAAGGTCCTTGTCTGCCATGACGACCCCTAAACCTGGCGCCGCGTCTGAGTCAAGGAACGTCGGAGCATAATAATAATACTATAACAAACAATAAATAGTAAAAAAATTTAAGAAACTTTTAATCACCTTACACATCGTTCTGACGCCGCCGATGGCAAGATCAAGGGGGATAGCCCCGCCGGACCCTCTACCCCTCGGTCCCTTCACGCTACTCTGATATCCCATGTCGTCGCTGCTCGATCTCGGTCCCTGAATCTCTCTGACGAAAGTCCGACGCTGTAGCCAATAGAACTAAGCCCAAAGTTGAACCTTGCATTAATGGACATCTATATAAGTGGGCACTATGTGGCGCGCAGATCTACCGAAACGGTTCAAAATCACGTTGTTGTCTATGCCGTCCTCCGCACGTACGCACAAGTCACAGGCAAGCGCACCAGTCCAGAAACATAAGCTTTTTAATTCTAGTTTAATCAAAAATAAAAATTTACCCGGCAACCGCGCCAGCTTCACAGCCATCAATACGAAGATAGACAGTCATCAATACGAAGAAAGATCACGCGTGCCTTCAGACTGCGCGCCCACATACTCTCTACTCTAGTCAACCATTCAGTCAACGTAAACCACATACACTGCCGCGACTCGCACGGTGTACTTAAACTTTAAACTAAACAAGTAAAGGCGCGCCGCGGGCCATGCCCGCGGCAGATGGCCAGAGCGACAGAGCAAGATGGGGAGCGGGGCTGAAAGTGAGACGACATGAAAGTGTGTGTG